CTACAGACAAACTCAGTTTGGTACCTGGTAGAGTTCTGAAGGGCTCATTCATCTCAAAACGATGCACCTCAAACAGAAGAGAGCGCTGAAGAGGGAAAATGTGCGAATGTGAACATTTCTATCATTTGAGATGAGTCTGTCAGCACAGCCTGTAAAATATCTCAATGGGATCCCTCTTTTGAGTCTCTGTGGGCTATTTTGCCTTTGGAAACATTTGAATCATACACAGTAATTTGAGATCCAAGTCATGGCAAAGAACCCAAATAGCAGATGTCTTTTGCCATGAGAATAGGACCAGGTTGTTAATGTTTCTCGAAATGAAGTGAGTGATTTGTCACAATCAGACTGGAGGCGGTTATAAAACAATTGATTGAGAAACACAAAGCTTTGAAAAAAAATGTGTCTTTGGCCGAGACATCGGTTACTCACACATTCTAAGTGTAAAAGTTGATTTATTCACCAACAGATGTAGAAAATATACGCTTGCTGCCAAAGGTCAAGGTCCGTACGTTTACTGAATAAGCCTTCTTTTGTCTACTCAAAATGCACAAAATGGCTGCTGCGGTTGCCTTCAAAATGCAGTTACTGTAAAACCCTTTTCGAGACATTTTAATGTGATAAAAACACAAGTTCTTCCTCTTTAAGTCCCAACAGATATATCCAACCGTATTGAAGTGAGTCCCAAAGTTACTGTAAATGACACACGAGACTGAATGTGAATCAGAGTCCATTTATCTGCCGCAGAACCACTTGTAACAACAACCTCCTCGCAGCAATTTCAAGTGATGTTAAGGCCAAGCTTTGAGCCACATGCAAATAGTTTGTGAAATGCTTCTCCGTTTTACGACAGAAAAAGGGCAACTTTTTAAAGTTGTTGCGAATGAGATTTATTGAAAAAAGAAGTTGAAAAATCCAGATGGATGACCCTGCTCAATGAGCCATATCAATTCACTTACTCCAAGTGAGTGCAAAGCCAGACTCTAACAGCCACCGAGTATGAGATGGAATGTGAAAGTGCGCGACATGTGCGGCACGCTTGAAAGCTGACACGTCTGTGAGAGTTGTGACCTGCAGGCTGGTGTTCTGTCCCACGTATAAGGAGGGCTCAGAAGAATTAAAATTTAGGGCTAAAGACAAAGGGATCTTTACCTTCCTGCTGCTTTGGTTCTCCACTGTCAAAGCTGTACCACGTAGGGTGGTCGTGCAGTATAGTCGGCGCTACCCAGTCGAAGGCATTCTAAGTTCAGAAATGCGAGGGTACAGATATCGGCCGAGAATTATTTTTTTTTAAATGGAAATGATTACGTCGTGACTGCACTCAAATTTCGTGGTTTTAGACAATAACTTTTTTTGAACGCCGAAATGAAACTGCTGTTTCTGCTCGTTTCAGTTTATTGCAATGTTTACTCTGTGTATGAAATGTCCATTGTAACAACGGGCGATGCTAATTAAATCAGTGACATGTGCTTAAAGCAAACTGCTACTCCCCTCTCCTATACTCGGCTATTCCTTAAACGCCTTATACACCTAAGACTTTATACAGTTTAATTAGACCATGTCTAAATTCTTTTATAATATATCACTCCCCTTACACTCAATCTGTTTGAAGTGTGTTCTGATTCCTTCACAGTAATACATATCTAGCCCCTTTTCTATTCAGACTTGTTCTTGGCCTCACCCACTGATTACAATAGTCTTGGTGGAATCATTAATCGAAATGGAATTCATTATGTTAAGTTTTTCTCGACCATGCATTGAGAGCTGGAAGACTTTTGTGAAAGTCATAGTTTATAGCTTGGATTCCACAGTGTGTTCATTGTTAGGCCAATGCAATATGATGACATTGGCCGGGAACTCATTAGAGTGCTATTGAGGCAAAAGGCACTGCAATATTCAGATTTACAATGGTGCCAGTGATTTGAAAGGATATCATTTCTAATCTTTATTCTGCGCAAATACAAATACAATTTAACTAACTTTCAAAGTGAGCAATATCGCCAGCGTAACTTTGAAGCTGACAATGCACTTTTGTCTGTTCTTTCACAAATGACAAAAGGCTTTAGTTAGAAGTGTCAATATTATATACAGTATTAAAAACAGTTCTCATTGAGAGCGAAATGGGTGGAAATTTGAGGAAATCCAAAGATAACATGACGTAATAGTGACATTAACTGAATGGCAGTCAAAAACAGATCAACCCAGTGCCATTTTAGAACCCTAACTCAAGTCCATTCACTGGGAGCTCATAAGTTAAATTCAATGCTGTATTTGCCTGAACATACATAGCTTTGAAACAGTTGATGTTATAGGCGCTATATCAATTTTAATGAGCATTATATTTCGGTTTACAATCTGTAGGGTGAAGATTGCCACATGTAATGTAATAGGTATCTGCAGTGATCATTATCACATCACATGTTGGGATTTGCACTCGGACTCAAACATTTTCAAGATCAGCGTATGGTGTCAATGCAAAAAGCAATCCACTGACACCAAACTGCAAGTTTAAGCACAATGTGAATATTTGTGTCTCTCACACTCAGTGAAAAATACAAAGGATACAAAGAACTGGAAATGAGCCTTGGAAAAGATGCAGCAGGATTTTATTTAGCTATATATTTCTATATATTGCTCGATAAACCAGGCGAGAAGATTTTGTCTTTTTCCATGCAGTCACTTAACTATTCTACAAAATACAGTAGAGCAATACCAAATGTATGTGGGTGAGAAATAAAAACTTCTGTTTTCAATGTAAGCACATAACTGTGTGTAATGATATATTTCCAAACACCCCGCTGTCCCAGACTGGGCCTGTGGGACTACAAAAACATCTGCAGCTGGACGGAGTCAAACTACATTCTCTCACTGGCCACGGTCTGCAACAAATCACTCCTAATTGCATCCTCACCCTGTCACGGTTTCAATGGCGATCCACCCCCTGCCCATCCCTTGCAGTGCCCCAGGTGGTAGACAGGCTCAGCTTACCTCTGCTAAGTTTATCTTCCTTCGGTCCACCTGACACCTTCCCATGTCCTGTGCAGCACAGACTCTTCAATCAGCTGACCTTGCATTCATATTTTTCACCCTCTGCTTCCTTTTGCACTCAGAAGCTTGTTTGAAATGCATGTTGTGATGCTTGTGTGACTTTTTGCACGATTTATGACTTAAACCATTGTACTGAAGGTAAACATCCAAAGAACAAATCAACAGTGCAATAATGCACTGGCCACTAGTGAAGGACAAATGCATTACAATTGCATTCAGCCATGCCTTGGGGAGCACTAATATACTCTGTAATGCCATTGGGAACATCATTGGGTGGAATTGTTGTTATTGGGAGGAAGCACTAATACATGTATATGATGGGAAGTACAAATGCATTTTGCCATGCCATTGTGAATAGAATATTGGATGAAAGCCCTTCACCCCATTTGATTTATGTGGCACTGGTCAGTGTTGAATTATTCCTGTTTATTGAAATAGGTTTGCCCACAAAATATATAGTCAATTCACTTTACAGTGTATTCTGTGAAGCGCTTTGGGACGTCTCGAAGACGTGATAAGACACTATATCAAATGCAACGATTATTATTATTATATTCTGATGCATTATGAGGAGAACAAAGAGGTTCCTTTGCTGGAAAGTGGTTGTATGCACGCTGGATGTCAGGTGAGGATAGCACTGGACTCAGTCACAAAACCACAAAATAGGCTGCCAAATCTCATTGTTTAGGCTCCCATATAAAGAAGAGCCACCTGGTGAGATATCAGAGACACACACGGTGCTACACCCCAGCATGGGTCAATGCCATCACAGAGAAGAAGGTGAGAAAAGGGGGATACATTGGCCAAAAAACGATTCATCCAATAGAAAACTTAAGTGCCTGAATGGGACTGGTTTATCAATGTAAATTCGGTTTGGGCTTTGGATGTTTTTAGACATTTCCTTCCCTCAGGCTACTCAGTCACCTTACTCATTTCTCACCTTACCATAGAATCAGTTGCTTATTCTGTTCGAACTTTGACATCAGCCTTCCTGAATGCTCTTGGCTATGGCTCATACATTACTTGAAACTAACTTCACAGAAGACACCAAACAACACTGAGCAAAGATCACAATGGCGAAAGAGGGTGGAATAATTACAGTTCAATTTTTTCCTTTGTGCACTATTCAAAGACTATCCCTTTTCACCCTAAATTGCTTTGCTTGAAAGAAACAGAAGTTCGGAAAGTTTCTTTTTTTTAAAAAAGGTACACTGACTTCTTGGAAACTCAGGAGAATTTAACATGCTAGAGTAAGTTAAATACATAAATAACACATTTTCAAATAGTACATTACAAAGTCTGTGAATCAGATATACTATCAGTTTGAAGAATTCTATTATTCTATTGCTTCACTTTGAGAAAAAAAAGTTAACTTAATACAGACCAAGGATCAAGCCTGCAACCTTGTGGCTCTTTGTTACATCCGTGGTGCCTTCAATCACTAGATTTTAAAGTTGTGTCAGTAATTTCTGATTTTTCCATTGTGTCAGTAATTTAGGTTCTCTCTGCCTGGTGCTTCACATGTACTTGAATGGGCACAAACCCATGCCTGCTAATCACTCCTCATTCCAAATTTACCTCAACAATTGAAACTAACTGGCTATTTGTATTACTTTTAGGATGTTATTGGGTGTCTTTAACCCCATTTCATTTCTCATTAATCTCATTATGTAAAAAGCTTGGAGACATTTAGTTTACTTGAAAGTCACTGTATATTTTTTATACAGGTTCAAATAAGATTTGTCTTAAAAGCAGCCACAACGTCAACATCACTGATCTGTGAACGATCTTTGCACTGCAGGGTTAAGAACCAGGTCATTGTTACTGCACATTCTTTGGAGAAATAAGGCACGATTGATTTTTGGGAATTTCTGCAATGAGTGAATAATGCGAGAATGAAATGTGTTACCTTCAAATAGTCAACTCCCTACGTAACAGTTAATCATTTAACTCACCTAATCAGATCCTGCACTCTGTTGCTGTAGACTTCACTCTGTGAGCAGTTGTTCTTGGTTTCTTGGAGAGATTTCTTAGGTGTGCCAGGCTGACTGCTGGCCTCAAGGAGATTGGTGGCCAGGCACTCAAGCACAGTGGCACATGTTTGGAGCAGTCCGGTTGTCAGTCCTTCAAATACTTGCTTGTTCACACTTTTTCCAAAGCTGGTTTCATCTTCAGCAGGAACAAAGATCTACAAAACCAAAGCAAACAAAACAGGAGAATGAAACAAGATTCTACAGCTTCCATAATAATAATAATAATAATCCTTGCATTTGATATACCGCTTTTCACGTCAGGAGGACGTCCCAAAGCGCTTCACAGAACACACTGTAAAGTGAATTGACTGTACATTTGTGGGCGAACGCAGCAGCCAATTGCGCACAGCAATGTCCCACAAACAGTCGTAGATTGAAAATGACCAATTTATTATTGTTTTTGGTTTTGGAGGGATTATTATTAAGTAAGTAAGTTTAAGAGGAACTCAAGGTTAATTAGAGCATTTAGAGTATAATATGAATTGCAGCAGATTAACTATCAACGTTATTGGAGATATATGTACTGCACCTCTTTAATATGTGCCCTTCAAAAATTGTTTTCAAAAAGCTTTGATCAACACCATGCTCCAGAAAGGTGACTCTTTCCTAGGAGTGAGATCTGATTGCTCTATCCCCAGGAAAACCTCAGTACAGTATATGGGTGAATTTCTTTACAGTGAGAGAATGATACTCAACTTGCTGCTTCTGACATGGTAAAGCGCGATATGTAATGCAAAAATGCCACCAACTGAGCTAAGCTGACATTTTAAAAAAGTTCTTCACAAAGATCAAGCTATCAAGCACACACTTTGCTTATGTGTGGTGTTTACCTCTGCCCTTCATCGTTGGCTCCTGCTCCACAATTGGCAGGAACAGAGAGCAAAGTTCAGGAGTGAGTCCCATTTCAAATCACATTCAACTTGTGGTGAAAGCGTTGGGACACCATTAGGTACCAATACAGCTTCTGCTCAAAGATTTGTTTTTATATGTCTAAGATATGTCTAAGATAGCCTGGCAATCCTCAATATAGTAAATTTTAAATGCTAACCTTTTAACAACTCATTACTGTAACAATAATATAATGAAAACAAATGCTTTAGATTGATCATGATTGTAGGCCTAAAGCGTCACAATGGAGCACATGTTTTTAGACTTTCCTTCAATGCAAGCTGGTCATATGCTGAGAACAATTTCATACTAAACACTTTCTTTGAAAAAAGTGGAGGCAGGTTTCTCTAATATACAATGAAATTCTGATAGCATGTTTACATTCATAATATGTTATTTAGCATTTTAAATTCCACTACAGTCCTGAATTAATGCCCAGAGTCAAAATTTGCGAATTGTTTCAAACTGAGCACATGTAATAAATAAGTTGAAGAAGTTATAAGTACTGAAATGTGACCGTTAAACATTCTTATTTTCAGCAGATGCTTTTGATTGTGCATGAGATGAACAATGGGATTAGATTTCAGTGTACTCTCGTTCCTAGTTCAGCACTCAATCGACAGAATTACAAATATCTTAATATTAATCATTTCTATACACCTAGATTTTGGCATGTTTTTCACCATTCTTTACAGTGACCTGTATGGAACCAGTGCTGGGACTGCCTTGCAAGACCTTTTATTAAATAGAGTACATCCAATTCCTTCTTGCAAATCTCTTAATTTGATTTCACCCAATACTCCTTTCATGATCTTAAATAGGTAAAGACACATACATGTCTTCAGTACCCAAAGCATCTGATCATAAATACATGCCTCACCTTTATTTATCTGGTCACTAAGACATAAGGGGCTGCCCAGGGTCTAAAGGCATTACACAGGAAAGCAACAACGATGAAACCCATTTTTTTGAGGAATGAGCTATGAGCAATGATTAGACCGAGTAAGGCTCTTCAGTCTTGATCCCATGGCACCGCATTGAAGAATCATTACAACCATAACTGCATTGAACTCACCATTACAAGTTCACTGCTGATAACATGAGGCAACTTAAATACAGGCAGGTGTAAGATTTATCCAAAGTGGGCGTCTTGTGTTACAGTTTATGCTGAATTGGTTGAAGTCTCACACCTGGAAGCCATAGAGTATCTCATCACTTGTCATGGAAAATTATTTGCTATTTAGAATTGCCCACTGGCACTGGTAGATTTATACTTCATTGTTGTAGCTGTTTCCTCTAGAAACCCTGCACATGACTTATCATGTAAACAACAGTGAAATAAAACCAAATCCCTCCTTCAGCCTCTACGCCCCAACCCTCTGGAAATATCTCATTCAGCCCCCGCCCCCCACCCATCTTGTCATCTCTCTACTAATCTTCAAAATTTGCCTGAAAACAACCTTATTGACTGTGCTTACAGTCACCTCTCTCCCATCAGACCCTTAACTTCAGTCGCACAAATCATACGAATAAAACATGCAAGGTCTGTTTTAAGTGTATAAACTCAATGCGGTGTTCAGAAGCTGTTAAATAAATCAGTTGAGCTTCATTTTTTAAGATCATGATGCCTAATCCAGCTTCCATGTTATCTATATATATCACTGTGTCTCAGCCCATTCAAATTACTTTTTGTACAATCTGTTTTGGGCGTGTAGTGCATGAAAGGATGCGATAATGTAAGACAGAATCATCATTCAGAATAGGTCTACAGAGAAGATTAATTCATAGTTATACAAATACATCAACAACATTTGTCATATTGTCAATAGAATTGTCTTAATTTTTCTAATAGTACAAGATATTACTTTTAATCTCAAATAAATATCAATCATCTGCTCCATACAAGCAGGAAGAACTAACACAACTTAAAGCTAGGATCAGTATTAGTCGTTGCGTTGATATATTCCTCCTTTCTCCTTTTTTTGGTGAATTGTTGGGGATAAAACCTAGATAGTATCAACTTTGCTTTATTTTTTAGACTTAGTATCCACGTTTTGGTATATTTGATCCATTTTGCTGAGGAAAAAATGTTGGCCTGGCCACTGGGAGAATTCTGGGTAGAATAATCAGCTCTTCAGTAAAAGGTCATCAGAAACACATTTAAGGAGCTGAGGCTTGAAATTCTTAAGGCTCTTAGGCTCAAAGCTGTTGTTTTAAAATGCAACTTCTTTGGGGGCACTGCAGAAAGCCGGCTTCTAAATTAAAACCCAATTTGAGAGCGTTTTCTAAAATTCCTCACAATATTAAATTTTAAGACATTGGTCTTAAGCCAAAGAACATGAGAAATTCGGGGTGCCTGACCAGCAATATTTTGTAATCTATGTAGGCAAAGAGCTAATAAATAAATATTTTTATTAGCCATTATCCCATTTCTGTAGCTAAAGAAATGGATGATACTCAGCTGTTTGGCATTCGTGTGAGCTCTACCGCCTGTGAAGTGCTGAGTGACAACCTCCTTGTGTGTAAGTAGCCATTAAGTCTATGTACTGGTCCATTCACTGGGGAAATGGCAACGTTTTGGCTGAAATACCATCAGACACATAGCTTTCACTCCACTTAATTAAGTTCAATGCTTGAAATACTTTCTATGCAGGGCAAGTGATTGTGGTGCTGAAGTAACTATGACGTTTTCAGAAATGAGGTGAAATGTCTTTTTTTCAATATCAGGAAACCCTTCTCAAGTCTCCATTTAATGGCCTTTGTGTGCCTCAAAGCCCCAGCGCCTTGTTTATTTTTATACCAGCTCTTCTTGTTAATTATTCAATACCTATACATAGCTTTTCAATTACAGTACAACTTAACTCTGGAAATTACACGATTCCAAATAAAGTGTTTCTTTTCAACTGTATGACAACATTTTTTTGACATTCCCCGGAAAAGTGACATTGAATTTAAAGATCCTCTGTTCCCTTGGTAAGACTGCTGAGAGTCCATTTGGGCTTAGGACAAAAAAAAAAATGATTTACTCTTAACCCTTCTTTCTGGACATTTACACCAGCTCTTCCACCTTCCATACACATCGATTTACAGAGACTGTATGACAAGAAAACAGTCCATTCAGCCCAACTCGTCTGTACCAGTGTTTATATTCCACAGGAGTCTACACCTACTCCTTACTTCTCCACACACTCACTCTTCTATCCCTTTCTTCCACATCTGTACGTCTAGCTTCCTCTTAAATTTTATGATCCTTTGTGAATCCAGGTTCTGTTGTGAAAAGCACAATTTCACCTGCATACATATGTGCCACCACACCCACACCCCGCCAACAAACATTCAAATAGTAATATGCGTCATGGCACAGAGGCTATAATTCACAAAGAAAGGTTCAGATAAAGATGGCCCTTTAACCCACTTGATCTCATACTTTCAGAATAGCAAATCTACTGTTTTCCTTTTACAAGATCAAGCTGTTTCTTGAATAATTATTGTGGGAGTAGAGATGGCAGAGCTGGAATTTTGGTGTTAAATATGAAAAGACACATCTGCTTTGTCAAACGGCCACATGGAGAAGAATCACCATTTATAATTATGTAGGTTACAATTATCAGAGTATCACAGAATCCACCTGTCTTGCCTAAAGGTACAGAACAAGTGGCTGAAAATAAACTTTCCTGCTTCTATGTAAGAAACAGTAACCCTTTAGAGACTGTGGGAACTCAGTCAAGCCCTCAGGCCCAATACCCTTCTGATCACACGTATGTCTCCCCGCCAGCAGTGGTCACTGGAAAACAGTCAGAAGTGAGACCTCAAGTTGATTTTCCCCCTTCCATAAACTGTGGTGTTAACCCAGAGCAAACCATGGACCGATTTATAGTCTGGATGCCTCACCTACTGATTGGATAAATATGCTGAACGATGACAAGAACAGCAAGAAGTTAATTTTAGATGAAAGATAATTGTTACTCCAATTTCTCATGTGTACATGTGATAGAAATACACACAGCAAAGTAATATCGCTGCTATCAAACAGTGGAAGGTGTTTTGGAATTAAACTGGGTTTACCTCCTGACTCCCATCACAGAAATCATAGTTTCAGATGGGCTTGACTAGCGAAGACAATCAAAATACGTAAGTAAAGGTGATTTTGATTTTGAAACTTAATGTACCTTTTACTCCAGACAGAAAATGTTTGACTTTAATGTTCAATTATCATGTTTTAATCCTCATTAGCACATGAATATTTGTTACTGTTTCTAGTGATAAATGTCCGTTGAGTTCATTTTGAAATATTAGCAAAACCTTACTAGAAATGTGGTTGGTATTATGAAATAGAACTTCAACACATCCCCCCACACCCGCCCCATGGCAAGCACAATTTTGTCCACATGTGGATCTACAATCAAAGCTGTGTCATCCAATGCACCAAGAGAAATTAAAATATAATATAACAAGTGAAAAATGTATTAAAAAAAAGGCTGAGCATCTATCCTATATTGTGGGATAACAAGTAAAACTAGTAGTTAACACCTGTATGAAGTTAGTGATTATTTTAAAACACCAATGAAAAACACATTGTAGATATTTCAAGAGAGACATAACATTGGTTGGAAAGCCCAAAATTGCCACTTTTTCCGGGACCATCAAGTGTTCTTTTTCTCTCCTAAATTAAAATACCTGGAACGTTTTAAGCATGAAGTATATTGGACTTTTTTAAAAAAACAAGATATAGTCTAGATAGGTCAAAGCAAAATGGATGCACATGGGATCAATTTAGAAGTACATTTGATATTTAGCACATCTCATGTACCTGAATGTGCCATAAGGGGTATTCCTCTGGTAAAATTCTCAGCGGTGATACCCATGGACATCTGTTTTGCAAATTGTGGCATTATGCTTAGTGGTACATAAGTGTTTTGAGTTTTGTACAGTGTATAAAAGCTACCAATTGATAGTCAAAAATCAGGCTGAAAGTTCAATGGCTTCACAGATGTCAACAAGGATAACAATGGGGGAGGGGAGGTGCCTAAAACACACACACACACACAGATATTGAATACACTTCTAAATTGTACTCCATGGTCTCAGTTCAGTTTTCACATTTGTAAAATTGCCAGGCACAATAACAGAGGCCAAAGCTACTACAGTGTTTAAACAAGTGGACAACCACTTATAAAATAATATCAATGTTATTTGTATGGGCTCTTACTGTCAACTGATGCATCAGTAGCTCCATTAAGAAGGTGATCTTGTTACTGAGCAGAACATAGATGCAGTTGTCATAGCAGCCATTGCAGGCAAAGCAGTATGCATTAATCACATTGCACAGGGATCTGGAAAATGACAAGAGAGCGAGTTAGAAAGCATTCCAAAAGCTATACAGAACATAGTTAATAAATACAAACAAATGGTTTGGCTGCAAGACAGAAACAATCATTTTAGGGTCATTGATAGTTTTCAATGTTGCACCTTTCCCTCCATTCCTCCAAATCAATTCTATACTTTAACGAAAAAAATCAGATGGACCAAAACAAGGAGGCAATTGGTTGGAGTTTGAATTCTGTGTACAGGTTTGTTGACATCTGTGAAGCCATTGAGGGAATGTTATAAAAACAACACAAACGGTGCAGAGCAATGGTGTTGCCAGGGATGAAACATTATGAAAAGAGAATTGAGAAGCTAAGGCTTCATTTACAAGAGATGAGAAGGTTTAGGGGACAACCTCTTCCTCATCTCCAGTCAACTCAGCACAGCAAAAATAGGATGTACCTTAGACAATATTCATTTTTCAATATTATTAATGGAATGCATACCCTGACAATTACCTACAGAAATGTAAAGCACAGATGTAGATCATTTGGTAAATCATGCCTGTGCTGGCTCTCTGAAAAGGCCATTTTATTTAATTCTCCTACATTTATAATGTATATTTTTATATTCTCCTTCATAATATTTATCTAATGTCCTCTTAAAAGCTGTTCTAGGTAGGATATTCCACGTCGTAACAACCTTCTGTATAAAACAATTCTCCTCACCTCTCCTTTTGCTTATATGATAATTACTTTAAATATATGCCCTCCAGTGAGTTACTGACTAGTTGAAACAGATTCTGCTGGTTTATATTAGCAAAACCCTTCATAATTTTAAAAGGCTCCATTCTCCTCTCAACCTGCTATGTTTTATCCCTCCCCATTTTTGGACATGTAGACAAATGCAGAACTCCACTGAAACCAGCAAGTAAACAAAAACAACAACTTGCATCATATAGCACCCTCCATGCAGGGTAGCGTCTCAGAACGCTTGTAAGTCTCAGAGCAAGTAATGGTATATGGGCCACATCCACCCACACTTCATTTCCTGCCAGAAAAATCCTAAGTCTATATTTCCAGAAGGAGATTTCTGGACTAAATTAGCATACAGCCAATAACTGCATTATTAAAAAGGAATAGGGCATTTGAAAACACAGCTGACAGTAGAGATAGGACTCCCAGCCCTGGAAATTAGCTGAGAGTAGATTGGAGCAGACTGATGAATACAATGCATGGCAACGGGAGTTCACTAATTTGAAATGGACCTTCTCTGAAAAGTCATGCAACAGGAAATAACCATCTCAATATGCAAAGAGTTATGATTAATATTTCAACAGGGATTAATAAACAATGTACAGTGAAGCCCAAATGAATGCAACTCTGATGTATGCAGATGTACAGCCTGTCCTGATTCTTTTACAGCAATGCAAATGTAGAACTCCAAGTAAATGTCTGATTAGATGCACCAATCTCGCCTTCCTTAACTAATCCACTGCATAAAACAAGGCTTTCATTATCAATGCATTTGGATGTTAAATGGTTCTCTGTTCCTTAAGAATTATGCTAATATTTTCTGATTTCCTTTGCACACCTCCCTGTCGATATAATGTTCGTTCTGCTTAAACTAATCTGCTCTGTAGCCTGTCCACAGAGTAAAAATCATGTACATTTTATGGAGGGGATGTCATCATTAGTCCAAGTTTTATTAATAATAAAGATAATAATACTTACATTTGATTTAGTGGATTTCATGTTGGGAGGACTTTTAAAGCGCTTTACAGAATATAGTGTAAAGTGTAATGACTATATTTTGTAGGAGAACACTGCAGTCAATTTGCACATAAATTGCCACAAAGTAAATGAACAATTTTATTTGGGGATTGTTGGTCAAGATATAGGGGGAAACTCTCTCTTTTCAAATAGTGTCATGGGAATGTTAACAATCACCTGAACAGGCAGATGGGCCCTCAGTTTATTGTCTTACCCAAAACACAGCACTTCTGACAATGCAGCACACCTCCAACACTGGATTGGAGTGTTAGTCTAGACTTGCAAGTTCAAAGTCCTGACGTGGGCTTAAATGCACAACCTTTTGACTCAGAGGTGAGAGTGCTGCCAGTTGAGCAAGATCAACAACATTTTGTTACTAAATCCCAGCTTTCATACACTGTTAAACTCAGCATCATTTGCCTTCTAAACAGAACCTCTCTGGTAGCTTTCCCAAGTAAAATTATTTCTTATGTACTTACTTTTGGGACAACACAAAATTGATTCTGTCAATAATAGCATCAAGGGGACTGAATAGTGGGAAAGCTCAAATGATTTTTCTTCTCTTCCCTAACCCCATTCAAACCATTTGTCTTGTCTTCATGCTACTCCACCCTGAGCCAGGTCATCCTACTGGTCTGCGTGGGTCAATTGCAAACCAAGTGAGTGGTGCTCAGTTCTCTAGGTCTTTGCAACACCTAGAGTTCCACCAAAGGTTAGGTTTACTGGCCTTAACTTTGGCGGAGCTCAAAGTATTGCAAAGACTTTACAGAGCAATCATCAAGAGGCACCTGCAGCAAACCTTGTCACAAAGTGTCCAGTTATCAGCTCCTCCAAAAATTCAAAATATGAACATTATTTATTATTATTATTATTATTATTGCCTTTTTGAAGTTTCCTTGTACTTGTGCCTGTGGTGTGAATACTCTTCTGACACAGAGCAAATTTTATGAAACTCAGAGTATAATTAAAAACTTACGTGCTCAAGTCCTGTAAAAGAGCATCAAATATGATTTGTAAGGCACCTGAATACATGAAGGAGATGGGATAGAGGGGTAAGGCGGGGGGGGGGGGGGGGGGGGGGGGGGGGGGGGGGGGGGGGGGGGGGGGGGGGGGGGGGGGGGGGGGAGTTCAGGGAGGGAGAATTAGGTTTAAGATGAGTGAAGTCTTATGTGGAATGTAAACACCAGCATGGACTAGTTGGGCAGAATGGCCTGTTTTGGTGCTGTAGATTCTATGCAATTCTATTTAGGTTTCTGCATCAAAAATATACATTAAACGGAAATCTGCAGTCAGCATGCTATCAATGGTTTCAACCTCATATTTTTAATGGAATATTTTTATTCCTTTGTAGTCCATCTCATGGGGCTTGATTTGTGATAAAACACTGAACCGGAGATTGATTACAGTAAAATCTAGCCTTTTGATACTGCTGTTGAGGCAGTGCACAATGGCACTCTTGTGTGTGCATGTTCTCGTTTGTCTGGATTTTCAGTCGAGTTAATGGTGGCAGATGATAAGTAAGTAGCAGCCTCCTGCTGTTTGGAACCTGCTAACATTGAAGCTCTTAAAGGAAATGCACCACTCTTAAAGGAGAAGTACTACCAGTAGGATTCCTTTTGCCAATTAAAACAGTTCAAAAGAATCTAATCCATGTTATAACGCTGTTTTTTTTTCCTTTGAGAATGTATTTATCTAACAGCAAGTACTAATGAGAGCAGGTTAAGTGGTCAAGAAGAGCGAACCATCCCAGAGGTGACTCTGGCATTTATTTTAATCAAATAAGATATGTGTTGAGCTAACTCTAGTTACGGCCTCCTGCTGAGGCTGATGGATCTTCCCAGATGGGAGCCCTTCCTCATTGCCTCTTCAGAGAACATGGAGTGAGTGGTCTCCTTGCTTTTCTCCAAGATAGAAACTTACGTCAAAGCGATCAATCCTCTTACACGGAGAAGTGGGCACTGGGGTTTTCAGGCCACACAAAAAAATCAAAACACAATTGAAGAGAACCAAACTCTAAGAACATGCGGACAAACTATGAATCCAAACTGGAAGGACTTGATAAAACTTTGCAAATACATTCCTATCCACAAAGGTTGTGATAGTAGGGAGTGATATTAACTATTACAATACTGAAGAAGGCCATTCAACCTATTACCTCTGCACGGGTGCAAGTTTATTTAACTAGAGATAGCGACTCTAATCCCATTTCCCTGTTCTTTCTCCATACATTTAAATATTATCTTTTCCTCAAATATTTGTTCATTGCATTTTTAAATTATGTTATAGATTTGGTTTCAAAACAAGTGTAGTAAATTATTCCACTTTCTAACAATTAATTATCTTTTATAAAATAATTTCTTCTAACCTCGTCCCTCCTTTTTTTCTTTTGATAATCCTCAATTAATGGCCTCTTGTTCCTGATTTGCTGATCAGTAAAAAAATGAGTCTCTTTTATTTACCCTAACTAAACCAATCATAGTTTATCATTCAATCTTAACTTCATTGTACCTGCTCCTCCCCAAACAGTTTGTTTCATCAATAAACATTCCCAACTTTTCAACTCTCTCCACATAACTATAACCTCATCCTTTGATGAATAAGGAGTTTTACTATTGTAAGGGACAACAGAGATTTGCAGCAGAGGAATAGAGAGAAAGCGAAGTCCAGGCCCATATCTAGCATGCAGCAGAATGGTAGAAGATCACCTGACTTGTCTGGATGCAATTTCCTTAAAGAGTCAACAACTCTGGGGATTTTTACCCCTTGGGACGACAGCCTGTGGAGGCTGAATCAATGAAGGAAGATTTAAAATGTTGATAATGGAAGAGGCAAAAATGCAACATAAAGAGTAGAATTCAGTTAGTATAATACAGGGATAAATAGCCAGAGATGAGCAGACGTTTTATTCCTCTGTGGATGCCTTGTACAAGGCTGATATGGAGATGCTGCATGAATAGGATAAGGCAGCTCCAGGTGGCTTCCAGTGTTAAATGTAGATTAAAGTCAGTACAACTAATTTCTTTACTTTAATCTTATTAGAGTTACAACAGCTGTCAAGTGTCACCATTTGCACCCAAGTCTGAACTGACAAGCTCAAAGCACTCTAGCGATCAGGAACAGTTCATTCCTAGTTGTATTTCTCAAACTTATTGATTAAATTCAAGTCTTCTATTGATCCATTTTCATTTAAAAAATGTAGCAATGTGAAAATCAGATGATACACAGTTAAATAATCTATGGTCCCAATTCTCCTC